TGGAGGGGGGTGATGGGGGGGATGACGAGGGGGAGGAGGGGGAGGAGGGGGAAGGTGATGGTGATGAGAAGGACAAGGAGGGGGATGGGGAAGGGAAGGGGAAGGGGAAGGATGCCGCTAAGGGTACTGCTAAGGGCACAACTAGAGGGAAGAAGGATGTGAAGAAAGATACAAAGGTGAATGGAGGTAAGGACAAACAGGAGGAAGAGGAGCAGCATGACGGGGAGAATGAAGACGAGGAGCTTGATGAGGATGACGAGGAATACCAAGAGGAAGAAGGAGAAGACGGCGAAGATGAGGAAAACGAGGAAGACGAGGAAGAAGAAGTCGAACAACAGGTGGGCGATGATGAGGAAGCGGAAGGCGATGCCCCCGACAAAAAGAAGCAAAAGACCGAGTGAAGCACCATGCCATAATATTAGTGTTTAAGCTACTGAATTACTACCCTATTCTCTCGCCCATTTCCCCCAAACTCCACGCTCTCATCGCTCCACGTCGCCCTCCCCGCGCCCCTCATAATGGCTCTGAGGCAGATTGTTCAGCTCGTCTTCCTGGCGATCCAGCTTGTAGTTCGTCGCCCAGAATCCAACGCAGCCAACGAACGCCAAAATCGCAACCACCGTGTAGTTCCATACCAACAGCGGGTCTTCCGACAGACTGACCAACGCCTGTCCGATGGCCGACGAGAACGCGTTCATGAACAACGCGACCGCCTGCACGAGGGACCGCATGTTCCGCGGGGCCTTGGTGAACGCGTACTCGAGCGAGGTCACTGAAGCGAAGATCTCGGAGATACCTCCCAAGACGTACGGCAACGCCTGTACCCAGACGGAGATCGGAGAGTGCGAGTTGTACTCGTCCAGACAGTAGTTGGCCTGCTTGCCGCACCGGCCCAGCTTGTAGATGTAGTGTTGCGTCACCGTCGCCGCGATCATCGACAGACCGGCCGCGAAGAAACCGGCCGTGATACGCTTCAGGGGCGTGAACTTGACTCCAATGCGACGGAGACCCGGGTAGATGAGCTGGTCCATGATGGGGATGAAGATGATCAGAGCCAGAGGGTTCAGGTTGTTGATGATGTCGTTGGGGACGCCGCCAAGTTGCATGGTCGCCGCCTGCGAAGTGAGGTTGTTCAACATTTGGTTGTACGCAAGCCCTAGTTCATCTCGATTAGAAAAAAGTCTCTGCCGTCGCGGTAGGTGCACGCTTACAGTAGAGTGGGTACCACAGGAACACCTTGCAAGCCTTCAGTCCACGGGCTACCTCGTCCACCCATTCATCATCAAAGGTCATCCACTCCGGTCGGTTTGCACCGAGCGCGCTGGGCTTAACCGAGTCCCAGAACGGCCTAGGATTCTTCTGAAAGCTAAAGATGAGATCAGTATAGTCCGATGAGTGTCCGAATTGACTACTTACATCCGGGCTGGGTTGAGAGACCAGCGTCCTTTCATAGCTAGCTTCCAGGTGCGGAAGGCCTGGAGGTAGACTGAACCTGTCGGCTTGACCAGATAGTACTTGTTGCGGCAGAGGAACAGAACAGTCGGGCAGAATGTGAACATAATCGTGGGCAGGAGGTAGGACAGCCAGAATCCCACATATCTCTCCGCGTACACCATGCTGACCTGACCCAAAATCGAACCGATGTTGATCATCATGTAAAAGTAGAGGTAGATGCGGGAAACGGTGGCAGATGGGTCGACGATAACGCGTTCGCCTGACGGAAGGGTTTTGATGAAGGGGGTGTCTTCGCGATATTGCTCTGCAATCAGGGGGGAGATGTTGGATCTGTGTCTGTTAGGCCGTGTTGCAGAATGCAGGACAATCGCGCGACGTACTTGAAACCACCAGTGCCGATACCCATGACGATCAATCCGATAGAGAAGCACGCAATAGCTCCATCAGGGTTCTTGACAACAGGAGGAATAGCGGAGATGACGAGGATGGTGTGTCCCACCAATGCAGCGCCGATGGAGAACATGATGGTACGGAACCGACCCCAGTACTGATCCGCCATGAACGCGCCAGCCAGCGGCATGATATACGACCAGAAAGCGTTGACTGCTAGGTCAGCTGTGCTGTCTCGACTGGAGGAAATGCTTGGACTTACACAAAGTCAAACCTGTGGATGCCTGTTGGCCCATTCCCAGAGCACCTGGCACCAGGTTTCCAACTCCATGAGTCGCACCGGTGGTGGAGCCTTCGGGTAGGGGACGCTGAATGAAGTTGACGACTGTGAAGGTTAGCAACGTCGACCATGGGGTCGTGAGTTTACTCACACACTGCAGTGGTGCCATAGTACGAGAAACGCTCGCACAGCTCCACAAAAGCCACGGTGTAGGCTGTCCAGGGGATTTTGCCAGCCACACGACGCAGGGTCTGCATCTCCTCTGGGTTAGGGAACGCCTTCTGCAGCGAGGTATCCTCATCGTAGGCGGCACCCGATGAGCCGACCGCGACTTTCTCCGAGGTTGCTTGAATCACGTCGACATCGGAAGAAATGTCCGGTCGCACTTCAGATGCCGGATGCTTCTGCTTCTCATCGTGAGCAGCAGCAGCAGCAGCATCATGAGCGTAGGCCGCCGACTTGGCGACCTCTGCCGCCTCCACCGGATCAGAGCTGTTCATGTTGGAGGGAGACAGGATACAGTGAGGAATAGTTGATGGAAGAAGAGATGAAGGAGAGATTCAGAGAAGGGAGCTCGGGGGAAAGGTGCGGAGGAAGAGGTTTAAATTTGGGCTGACTGGACCGGGTGGCACAACCGCGGCAGGCAAGCAGGCACTGGGCGACTGAGCAGTGGTACTCCGTAGCTAGTAGGATCTCATATCAGCATCCATGATTCCACCCATCACTGCTATTGCACCATTTCCACCCGCTATCAGCATCTGCAGGGTCCAAGAGTGCCAAGACCGGCGATGCTTCCCTTCTCGGGGCCGTCGCAGGAGTCAATTCCACTGCTGGTCCTCGCTTGGAATCGGCAGAACCCGTTCAGCCCACGTTTCCCAGGCTGGCGATGGCTTGGATAAGAAGCACGCCAGATAAGCACGGCCGGCTACGACTGGCCAGGATTGCTCAGGACTGCTCAGGACTGCTCAGGACTGGGCTGTTCTGGTCGGTCGTCCAGCGGAACGGACGCCTTGGCAACCTTGGCGAGGGGCAGTCAGTGCAACCCCAGGCCTTGGCTGGCGGGGATCGCAGCCAATCACTCGCTGTCGGAGGGTTTGACCTGAGCTAAGGTGGGTTACATTGAGCCACTCGATGCACGCGACCACAAAGTCTGGAGAGACCGGGGGAGCAATCCATCCATCGAATTAGGCAGGTGTATTTGGAAATGGAATGTTCTTCGCATGAGACACTGCGAACGCGGTGAGCATGGTTTGCCACGCTATGAATCCTGCTCGCATCTTTAATCTATTATCTTTCTAGATACAGCGGTTGTACTCGGGACAAGCCTTTGCCCGCCAGTGGCGAGTTTGGTGGTGGTGGTGGTGGTGGTGGTGGTGCCAGCCTGCCGAGAGAACTCGGGCTGGGCAGGCCGGATATCTACTATCAGAAACCTGGGAGAACAGGCGTTGATATCAGCATGGAACGTTTGTGGAGTGCAGTGCAGTGCGTAGTATACTACGACTCAAAAGTGGATGTGACCACCCAATCTGAGTGGGGCAATTCCGGCGCGGTGGTTGATTATCACTATCCATTCCGTAACAGGTACTTTATCAGTGGCCAACTCGACCATGTCTCAAATCCATCATTTCAAGGTTCTGGAGGATTGCCACGGTTCATCGAGCTATGCCTTGCACCTGACATGTCTGTAGAGCGACCTTCCCGAAGGGATCTAGACTTGGAGGTGCAGTCGTGGACCCCGTCGCATGTCGCGTGGGCCGGTATAGGACGGACACACTCGCTATCTGTACAGCAAGTCGCCCCACAGCCGACTTCCCCGCGTTTTCAGTCAACGGTGCCATGGTCACTAACTCTCCTGGTACTACACGAGCATATCTGTTACGTACAACACTCCAAGCACACGCCGAAAGCACATGTCACACAAGTTGCAATCCAATTGACGCGGAGGGATATGAGAACGACGAATTGAGCAGGTGTGCGGTTTTCTGTTGTTCTATTTACTATATTGAGAGGAGGTTTCGAGTCTTGTTGTCCCTCCTTCAGATTACGGCGTTTTGCAATTGACCTATATCCAAGCCATTATAGGAGTTCGCTGTCTGTGGCTTTTTAAACCTTGTCGCACGGCTAACCGCGGCTGGTCATATCCACCATGGCTGACTCATTTGCACAGCATAACTAATGAAGCTTTTCCAAGTACGCTGTTGGGTCGATTCTCGTCTGCTCAGTGGAAGTGCCAAGTCGGTTGACAGCAACCGAGTGCTTGACGTCCATGTGTCAATGGATCCATCTATATAGGACTCCCTTCATCATCGACATCGAATCACTGTCTCTATCTATCGCAATCGAGAACATGCCCGGTTCTGTGGTGCAATGAGTAGCTAGGTTGTCGGTGAAGCTGCACCTGCTGACAGCTTACGCCACCCCTGCTGCCTGCCATACCGACCGGGGTTGAACATGTCCAACAATGCTCTCCCGTCCTAAATAATGCCTCCCTTTGCTGCTCCCCCAACTCTTCTCCATGTACTCGTCAACTTCAATTACACAACAAAGACCAACCAATCATGCCCTCAGCCGCCTTCAACCCGGACACAGACATTCCTGACTTGTCCGGCAAAGTCATCCTGATCACAGGAGGTAAGCTATCCACCCTAATCTCATCTCATCCGCCCAAACCAACGCCCCATCAGGAACCGCCGGACTGGGAGCCCAGACGGCGCGCCAACTAGCCAAGCATGGGCCGGCGCACATCTACATCAGCGGGCGCAACGCATCCGGCGCCGACACATTGATCTCCCAAATCCAAGAAAACACAACCACCACCACCACCAAAGCCACCCTAGTCACGTTCCTACCGTGCGACCTCGCAGATCTCACCTCCGTACAACAAGCAGCCTCAACCTTCCTGGCCCAGGAATCCCATCTGGACGTGCTGATGTGTAACGCGGGGATAATGGCCCGCCCGCCGGGCCTGACGACCGACGGTTACGAGATCCAATTCGGGACCAACCACCTTGGCCACGCCCTGCTCATCCAGAAACTACTCCCGCGGCTGCAAGCCACCGCTGCCGAGGGCCACAACGTCCGCGTCATCCTTCTAACCTCCCTGAGGTTCAAGATGCACCCACCGGGCGGGATCGCCTTCGACGCCCTCCGCACCACGCAGGAGTACCCGGCCTTCGCGGGCTGGATCCGCTACGGGCAGAGCAAGCTGGCGAATCTGCTGTACGCCCGCGAGCTGGCGCGGCGGTATCCCGAGCTGACCAGCATCTCGCTGACGCCCGGGGTAGTCAATACAGGGCTCGTCGGGAACCTGGGGTGCTGGAACCGGGCGTTTGTGTGGGTGTCGAACTTGGGCCAGGTGATGAAGCCCGCGGAAGGGGCTTACCATCAGCTGTGGGCTGCGAAGACGGCCACGGCGCACTTGACGAATGGAGGGTTCTACGAGCCTGTTGGGGTGCTCTCATCCAAGCTGGATAGTGCGGCCCAGCATCAAGAGTTGGCGACGCGATTGTGGGACTGGACAGATGAGGCGTTGAGGCCGTTCTTGTGATTTGTGCGCAGTGCTGGGGGGGATTTTAACTGAAGTGGATAGAAAGATTCAAAGCGGAGCGCTTTGCTGTAGAGCTCGGGTGCGATCGGGCAACGCTGCTTTAGTACTTACTTTGCCTACCCCGCCGTAGGCTAAGACGTGTTAGCTTCGCGTCTCAACGTTTCCATTGTCTTGTTCTTCTACAGCTGCCCCAACTAGCTACCGGTGCTTACCTTCACTTCTTGGCTATTAGCTCCTCCACTCATCCCCGATCTAGGACCATCGCACGAAGAACCCATTCCCGCCTCCACTCCCTTGGCGCCTCTCGCAGCTTTGCCCGCTCAACGTCGCAACGTCCACCACGACCAACTTACGCACAAGTCCTCTACTAATCACTTAGAATCTCGATCCCACGAAGGTGCAACCAAGTAAGGCTTTTTCCCGATCTCCGCAAATCCCAGCAACGGAGACATGGCAGGCGTTACGAAATCACAACCCGCACGCCCTTGGTACTCTCTTTCGGTATCGGAAACCACAGATCATGATCGTAGGCCACATCCTCCACGGTGGTTTGGTACAGCCTCATTCGCGGAAGCACACGGAGCGCCAGGACCGGCAGCGTGACATAGAGACTGCAATACGCCAGACTAGGAAGGACAGTCAGCCAACGCTATCTATAACCCGAAATCCCCCGAAGACTAGCTCGCCTATGTTTACTACTACCATTTGTACATGAACCACCAAGAGCGCAATAAGAAAGACAGGGGGCGGGGCAAAAGAAAACTCACCTCATCCCCAAACACTGATGACTACCCTTCGAAAACGGGATCAAGCAGGTTTCCATCCGCCGGCACTGCGTCTCATCGGCCTCCAGCCATCGCTCGGGACGGAAGGCGTGCGAATCCGGGAACACGGACTCGTTGTGGTGGTTGATCACGGAGGACATGCCCATGGGTGTGCCGGGGGGAATAACATAAGTGAGTTCGCGGTCCTTAAACTCGCCACGGTAGGTAAGATGCTCGTCGGGGGCGATGCGGGGCAGTCGTTGGCTGACCCGTAGGAGAGGCGGAGGCCCTCTTGAATGACGGCGTGGAGGAAGGGGAGTTTTTCGAGGTCGGACCAGGGGGGAAGTGAGGGCGTCGGTGGCATCGAGCTCGTCGGCGAGCTTGTCTAGGAGGGTGGGGTTGTGGCAGAGGTGGAAGGTTATCACGGTTAGGGTCCACTGTTTTCCTCTTCAGTATGCGTCGAGGTACAATATGAAAGAAATACGGTGGAATATCAAGGGACCGCGCTCTGAGCCCGGAAACTGGGCATTACTCACAGCGGTCGTCTCCGTCCCCGCCGCAATGAACGAGTAACTCTCTCCACCGAGCCTGTGATCCGTCTTCTCCTCCTCCGGCAGGTCCGAAGCAACCAGAGTATGAAGATCGCCGGTCGTTCCGGGGCCTCCCCGGCCTGGTATTCCCGTCGAGCTTTGTGCACCCGCGCCGGCATCTTCTCGTTCCCCTCCTCCACCAAGCCCTTCACGCGGGGATCCAACCACTTGGCCACAGATGGCATGAGATCCACGATCGCTTTCAGCAGCGGGAAGGACCGAAACACGTGCATCGGGGTGAGCAGCGAGTGCAACGCATGTCGGAAGTTGGGTTCCCATGATTTCTGTCTTATAAAGCCAAAGGGCTCGCCGAAGCAGTAACCGGAAATGATGTCGGAGGTGAAACAGCTGTACGCGGTGACGAGATCAATCGGCTCTTCACTTTTGGTACCGATGTTGAGGAGCTTGTCACAGAGCTGGTCCGCGAGGTCTTCGATGTCTGCCTCCAGTTTGGTAATCTGCGCGCGCGAGAAGAACTTGTTTGCGGCGCTGCGGCGGAGGCGGTGCAGGTCGTGGTCGACCGCTGAAACCATGGCTTCGGTAATGGGCCCCGCGAAGAGGTTCAGGTGAACTTGTTTGTTGCGTCTGCGTTTGCCGGTCGAGTAGATCTCGTCGGTGAAGGCGATGTCGTTGATGTGGAGTTCTTCGGGGTGGATGCGGACGACGGGGCCTGTTGCCGCGGGTTCAGCGACGGATTTTCTATGTCTGCCTGGGCTATCATTCATGGACAAAGGAGGAGGTTTTACCGTAGATCTCGTGCATGCGTTGATTCTCTAGACTGTAGCGTCCGCCGAGTATCAGGTCGAACCAGGCTTCATACAGAAACGTGATGGGTGCGAGCTTAGGGCGTGTAATCTGGTACAAGGGGTGGAATGGCGAGATATTGACGACTGCCCGGACGATGCGATAGAGCAGCCAGAGACCGGTCAAATACTGGAGGAGGAGGATGCGCATGCTGACAGGTCATGCGATACGAACGTTGCTGAGGTGTCTTGAGTATTCCTCGTATATTGTGATATGATAAATCCATATTTATCAGATGAGAGTTCCACTCGACTCTTTCTGAAATGTATGTGCGGTGATCGACAAAAGCTTCAGTCTCAAGATCTATGATGCTTTGATAGGACATAAGACTCGGTTGTTGCTTTCACGACTCTTGGCCAAGACCACATACAGTCTCCTTTGATTTGATCCAAGGCGTATGCTCCTTCGTCTGAGTTTGTTCGAATTGGTGTGCTATATGATCCCCCCGAGTGACTTTCGGGTAGTATCAACTTCCGGGGAGGATAATATGCTTCGGCAATCGAGATTAGACAGGCTTTGAGGGTCTTTCTCAATTCCAATAACTATATAACTATGATCTGTCGATCTGACGTTTAGAAGCGGTGGTAGGTGAAGGACTGAGCAGTAATCAAGGTAAAATGAAGACGCGACGGGAGTCGCGTGGCGGCCTGCCCAAAGGCCTGCCCCAGCATGGTAAGCAAACATAGCAAAATGGGTGGTTTACATGTCTCTCAGCGTCAGATTATCGGCTGCACCTGGAATAGGATAATTTGATCCTAAGTCTGGCATGCAATCTTTGCTCTATGTTATGATGAATGTCTTGCCGTCTAAATTGTCCTACTTCTGAATCTAGTCCACCTCAACACCATCTTTAACAAGGCCATCTATCTAGAAGTGGAATACAACTCCAGTGAATCCCAGTACGTACACGGCTATGAAAGCGTCACCAGCGACTTGAGCTTCGCGGCGTAGCGTTCTCTCTTCCCAACTGGCTCAACCTCCGGCTCCACAAAACGAACTCGATCTCTGGTGATCTTCTTGAAGATTTCCTTGAGATAGAGGCGTGTATGCAGCCGCTCCGACGAGCTGCTTGTGTTGCAGGACGTCAGGAAGCGCCGCTCAACAGGGATAAAAGGGCCCAGCGGGTCCGGGATCTCATAAACCGTGAGCTCCCCCGAAGCAGGCTCGATGGTGGCGAGGTAAGCTGGCCGACCGGTCTGACACAGCACCTCGGCCTCGGTGCACCAGACCTGCTGCTGCGTAATGAGGTCGAGAGGCCTCATTTTCTGGGTGTAGTAGCACCTGGACATCAGAATCGCGGTCATCACGGCAGCCACGCGGCCATTCTCCTGCTTTCTGCCGATCCGAACACACTTGTATCTCGTTCTTGCCTTCTCGTCTGGCTGGTCTTCGCCAACGCTGTACTGAAAGAAGGAGTAGACAAAGCCGTGGGAGGCAGGAAACAAGGCCCCAAGACGCACGAACCAAGCCAGCAGGGCGGAGTGGTGGGTTTCTATGGGGGCGACAAGCGGCACATACGGAGCGGCCATCCCGGCTGTTACGGCTTTCCGGCCACGCGTATCCCACCATTTGACTTTAGCCTGACTAGCTCTCCTCTTCTGCTTGGGAGTGTCAGTAGGGGATGAGGGGAAGTGCTTGTGTTCAACCTTGTTCCAAGCAGCGCACTGCTCGGCGTGAAGGCGCCAGAATCGTCGCAATGGCCGCAGCTCCTGCACGAGCGCCTGAAGGTCGGCGGACGTGGACAGCTTGTACGAGGTAGTCGTGCTATACCTGTCGCTGCTGCTATCAGAGGTGCACTCTACAGCCTCTCTCCGGCAGAAGAAGAGCTGGAGGAGCCCGTGCTCGCTCAAGACGGCGCCACACCTGGTCTCAATACCCAAATCTTTATACTTCCCTTCAGGCAAGAACTGCACCTCTGTTAGCCACTCAGGCATGTGTCTATCGCTTGGAGCAATCATCATGATGCACTCGTCTTTTCCTTTTGGAATCGTCTTGGCTACCATGACTCCGTAGAAGGGTTTGGAATCGCGGGCCAAATAGCATGTCACGCTGAATCCGTCCTTTTCGGGGAAGATAAACCCTTGGAAAAGAGCCTGGCAAGCGAGGACATGATCAGGAACCTCTAAAAGGCTTTCCAGCCGTCTGAGCTTCTGTGCAGGATACTTTCGGGATTCAGTGCGATCGTTAATATGGTCCAGCACGGCCTGCTCACTCATCCGCCGCACATCACCAAATCGGGGATTGAAGTCCATCGGTGCTAAAGCAGTGAGTGGACTTATCTGGGTTGTTTTCTCTCTTATGGTTTCTCGAAATCAAATTAGAAGGTTTAGTATAGTCACTGGGAAACAGGAAGCAGAAATCAAATGGCACACGGTCCGCCTTATAAGGCGTCGCATTACACGGTCTTTGTTCATTCGTCCCCAAAATCTTTTATACCCAGCAACAATCCAATTGTTCCCAGCATCAGTCAAAGCAGATCAAGCCACTTGTCAGTAATCACTTTTGTCTCGGAGCCGGTCGCAACGCACAATGACAATGGATGCATAACCAAGCCTTTGTCTCACGACGCAGCTTGGGTTTCGAGTGGTGTCGGGTTACGAACAACGAAGGGCCTTTCTCCTGCTTTCCTTGTTGAAAGCCCTACTATTGGTGAACTTGGCCGCCAACACTGTGGTTGCCCTACATTCCACTTTCAAGTTCTGCTTTTCTGGTGCTGGCACTTTCCTGTTGCCTTATGTAAGTTCCACGCAGTGCCAGCCAGCTTGGACGCCAAGAAGTCAGTAGCCCTACATTCCACTTTCGAGTTCTATTGTTCTAGTGCCGGTACATCCCTATTGCCATACAAACCCCTCCCCCTCCCCAAACAATGTAGGTGTAGCTTGGGATTTAAGGGGCCTAAAGGAGCTTGGGTACTGGCAAACCAGTAGCTATATATTATACTCTAATCTTTTGTTTTCTGATCCTGGTGCTGGCACTCTTCTGCTGCCCTGTGTAACTGCTAGCGATGTAAGTGCAGCTTAGGAAGCAAGTAGTATTGGGGACCTTAATTGCCAAGACTTGAGTAGCCCTACATTCCACTTTCATATTCTGTTTTCCTGGTGCTGGTACATCCCTATTGCCATACACAATCCCGCCCAACAATGTAGGTGCAGCTTGCAACTACGCGGTATAAAGGAGCTTAGGCACTAAGAAGCCAGTGGCTCGATATTTCACCTTTGCCCATGGGGTTTCTGGTGCTGGTAAGTTACCTCTCTATTGTCATATGCAACACCCGGGAGAATGCAAGTAAAGCTTGCGGTTCACGCGGTTTTACTCAATGCAAGTTCTATTAACCCAAGGAACTCGCCTATTGCAACTGGCTACAAAGGTGTTTCAATCCTAAATCCTACCAGGACGGCTTGAAACCCTTGAGTAACTTTTAATAATCAAGAATCAACACACATCCACGTATACATACAAAACAGCGGCTCCGCGGCCAGCAGTGTAGGGAGTTTGGCGCCAAGACCTCAGTAGCCCTACATTCCACTTCCAAGTGCTTGTTCTTCAGGACTGGTACTTTTCTGCTGCCCTATATCACTTTCCTAGACAACTGCAAGTGCAGCTAGTGGTTGAAAGCGGGTAGGGTGCCGGGCTCTTCCCATTCCTTCCTAATCTATACCCACGCTGCTGGGTAGCCTGGCCGCCAAGAGATCGATAGCCCTACATTTCACTTTCACGTTTTGTTTTTCCAGTGCTGGTACTTCCCTGTTGCCCTATGTAAATTCCCTGGACAGGGTGGTGCGGGAGGCACGTATGGGCTTTTGCTGCAGAAGATGCAGTCCTCTAACAGCTCTTTGGTATTAAGTGATCTGAAATCGGTAAAAAACTAAATCAGTGAGCACTCTATTGTAACGTAAACGGGGATTGTTCTACGAGAAGCATTGCAGGACTTCAAAGGGCCGGGCTTTTATTGCAGCGCGGACGGCATCTGAACACGACTCTGAAATCGAGAGTCGGCAAACCCACGCATACTAAGCTGGATGCACTGCCTGCGTATAATTGATATGCCCTATCTCGTTGTTCTGCAGACTTAAAGCTTGAAATCGAAGTGAAAGGCATAATCCGGTGGACACTCGCAATATGAGTCAAAATATAGATATCCAAGAGCAGGTCGAACACAAGGTGAAGAAATGGACCAACGAACTATACACAACAGGCAGCCTATTCAACCAGCAGCAGAACAGCAGCGAAGCAAGAAGAAAATACAGAGTGAAGAGCCAAAAAAAAGCCACAGCCGCTCAGGGAGAAAGCTTGAAACCACCCCAGTTCAGGCGACTGAATACGCCCTCGGGATCAACCGCCGCCTGGATTTCCTTCATGCGCTTGATGTTTTCCTTGGGGAACGTCGCAAAAGCATCCTGCCATTCTCCAGCATCACCCATATAGACGTGCTCGCGTGCCAGAGACAGTTGGCGGTTCTCCTCGTGCAGGCTCTCGGACAGATCACGCGACCAGGACGTCATGCGGATATCGTCCTGGGCCAGATCCCATCCGGTGCTGAATTGCCACCCTAAAGCCAAAGATTAGCCGGTTATCTCAATGGTCAATTGACGCGGGCAGAAGTAAATATTCTCACAGATTGTAGGCTCGAGGGCCAGATCCCACGTGTTTCCGACGTCGGTGTTTCGTCCAGCACGGACAGCACCCGTGGGGCACAGATTAATCACAAATGTCGGGTAGATGCCTTGGACATCGGACAGGGTCTCGACGCTCGTCTTCCAGGCTTGGTAGATCTCGTACAGTCGATTGGCGTTGGGGACAATCGAGTGTGCTGAAAAGGCGATTCTGCAGACTCGATCATCAGCACTCTGGTCCGACTAACCTCGGGGATGCATTCACTCATACCTGAACATCTGATTGGGGGTATCCTTGTCCTCCGTCCACTGAAGCATTGTGGTAACATTGTGCATCTTGATCGGGCCTTCAATGGCGGTGAAGTTGGCAAATTGTGAAGGCGGGTTGCTTATCCCCTCTTGAACGCCCATCAGCGAGGCTGACACCGCCTTGGTCGTCACATTGTGCTGAATGGTCAAAATACCGCCCGCAGCAATGGGATCGCGGTCGTCCAAGCGCGACAAGGCCACGGCGGCCTTGATGAAGTCGTAGACCTCCGTTTCCTCGAAGGCCTGAATGGTGGTGCTCACATTGGGCATGTGGTATGTCTTGAGGGTGAACTTGGTGACCAGGCCGAAGTTGTTAGCACCGCCCTTGAGGGCCCAGAACAGATCGCGGTTTGTGAATTTATCCGCAATCACCTGAGTGCCATTGCCCAGAACCACGTCGTAGCGCACGACATTGTCCATAGCAAACCCGTACTTGTTGATGAAGTAGTGAACGCCGCCGATCAGAGTCAGACCAGGCACACCGATGGTCTTGAGACGACCTCCGATAACAGCACGGTGATAGGGGTTCAAGGCTGCGACAACATCAATCCATTTCATACCAGGGTCCACTTCAATGGTATCGTTATGGACCTTGTAGTCCTGGAGTTTGTTCAAAGTAATCAAAACACCGCCGTCGATATTGTTGGATCCCGGGAACTGCCATAGCATGCGAAGATTAGCCCACTGCCTCAGGCCAACAATCATGCACGGGACTCACATTCATGTGACCTCCACCGCGGATGGCAAAGGGCGCATTGCACGCAGAAACGATCTTGACCCCCTCCGCCACTTCATCCGCATTACTTGGCTGGAAGATGCAAGCAGGATACAGATCGGAGCGGATGTCCCAGTACCGGATTCTCTCCTCCGTATAGTTCGCGGAGGAAGACGACAACATCTCAGATGAGTGTATTTGGTTCAGCCGCTGACAAGCACAGGCAACCTCGCTGGTGAGGTGAAAGTTGCCCTGCCACAGAGAAATTGATGCGTTCGACAAGCTGCTGCTGCTGGCTAAAGCCGCCCCAGTGAGGGCTAACGCAAAGAATTGTCTAAGCATTGCGGTAGGAACAAAGGCTCGAGGTAGGTGGTAGGAAATGATTTGCTGGTTTGCTTGTTTGCGTCGAGAGCTAATCAGGATACAGGAGTCCCTTTTATGTATTTTCAGCAGTCAATGGAAGAACTAGGCATCTTTCAATTCGTCAACCGCGTCTCTCGCAAATAAGTCTGTCGGTTCTCAATTGCGGTGCCTTCGGGTTCGGATTCAAGTTGCAGTTCGAGGCTCTACCAACCACGGGTGGCAGCCCCACAGCGTCTCAGGGCGATGGAAGAGAAGAGGATGATCTGCGGTTAGAAGAAGATCAACTCTGCCAGGAGATATCTGTAGAATCGCCAGGCAGCCAGGATATGTAAAGCCGCGACCTTGTGCCGCGACCTGCCAACATCATGATGAGGACCGACACGCACTGCTATGCCACATAACAAAATATGACTTGCTCGAGACATTAGGAATTACTGTTAAATGATTCGGACTTAGTGAAAGCCTGCTTTCTATGTACAAACCTGTGACTAGCTAGCTCAGTCTGGGCCAACTGATGCACAGGAACCACAATTTAAGCATAAGCTTTCTGTTTCAGACACCGGAATTTGAAACCGACTGCGGACACGAGCCCGAATACGAACCCGAACCCGAGGCCAAGGATGATCACAACCCGCCAAGAAGAATCGACCGTGGTTACTCTCACAATTCGGCTGCCTGAGGATTCAAACACAGAACCTCTTTCTTTTTCTGGTATGACCTTATGGGAGTTTACTCCTGTGCCACTATAGAGGGTCAAGTATACATGGATTCCCTTCTTAGCTTGCAGCTACACTACTCAAAACAGTACACAGACTGACGCAGGGGTGTATTCCACCGAGCCAGCGGAACGGCCGTCTTTACGTTGCTTCTGTCCCCGCCAGCGTTCCTCGAGGATCTTCAACAAGCGAGCAACGTTTGCAATGCGCGCGCTCCATGCTGTTCGACAAGCATTATGATCTAAACAACAACTCCCGCTGTGGCTTCACGGCGATTCGCGCTCGGCAAATTGATGGAATTGGCATTGAGTCCATCATTCAGAGGTGATGAACACTGTGCAGGACCGCCCCTTTATATAAGTATCAATATAGATGTTTGGAGACCCAGGTATAATCCCAATATAATATTCTCTTGCTTGAATATTGTCTTGCTGACTTGCTTGCAAAGCCTTTGCGCCCACGATAGGAACTATTGAGCCCGGAGGCTGGAAAACTCGCGAGCTTTTGCGGATACTTAATGGGCTTTCACATGCTGATATCAAGATTATCGGAGCTGACATTGTTGGGTTTGCTCCCGCTTATGACAGCCGAGCCGAGACTACCGGTTCGGCTGTCGCGCAGATTGCGTACGAGCTGTTGCAATGGATGATTCGTGTACCAGTCAAACAGCAGTGCCTCTAGTTCTGGAAGTTCATATGCTCGAAAAGTCTGTATTATGTGTTGAAGAAATCATTTCATATGATTCAAACCCCCAAGGCCATGAGTTTGTGGCTTCCTGAAAGTAAGATATCGAAGTGATGTCTGTCCACATTTGGGAAGACGGGGTCGTGGTGTCAGACCAACTTAGCTCTAACGCAGGCAGAATAGAGCTTGTTGCCTTATGACACACGAGTCTCAGTCGACGGAAAGACAGCGTTGGAAGTAGGGAGATTCAGAAGCTTCATTTCGGTGTTCCGATGCTTAGTGATAAGCTCGGAGAATCCACCACGGGGCGTATCTTACCAAATGACTTGTTTTTCGCCCCTGACCGTGCCCTGTTTATTGACGTCTCGACAACACCACGGTTTAGCCTGCCATGATCGGTCTTTCTGGCCGAGTGGCTGTTCTGACAGGTTAGGTCGTGCCTCGAATCACTGTGTCAGGCCTAAGCCAGATTTACGTCCGTAGCGGGCATACAAGCCGAGAAGAACTTACAGCCCTTCCTGCCCGTGTTGGTATACAATCAGCTAAAACTAGGAAACGCATCTAGACTCAATATTGGTCTAGAAGAGGATATCGCATGTCTATGAATCAGCGTCAACATGCAGCAATGGCCGCGATTACCCTATTCTTCCGATATCAGTGTTCACATGCCCTTCAGTTGACGTCCTGAATCAGCTCTGTTCTTTTTTCCCTCGACTACAACTTCACCAAGTCTGCTCGCCCACATCCTCTTGGACTTCATTCCTTAGACTACGATGCATCGAGACTTTGAACACTGTGGCGTCAACCGTAAATCCGATACCTCTGAAGATGTCGCCACAGGAGCCATCAGCCTGACGTATCCCGAAGGCGGCCGTGATGCATGGAGCTGTTTGGTAGGCTCTGTCTTCATTATGTTCCCATCCTTCGGCTTTCAAACTGCTGGTATGTTACTCCTATCTTGAACTTCAGCGTCACGTATTGATTCTCACGGGACCCCAGTCGGCACGGTGCAAGACTATATCACCACCCACCAGTTATCCGGCTACAGTGTGGAGGACATCGGCTGGATCAGCGCGCTCCTTGTCTACCTGACCCTATTCTTGGGCGTTCAATCCGGCCCCGTTTTCGACCGCTATGGCCCTCGACTTCTCCTCGCAGTGGGCTCTCTTGGCAGCGTCGCTTCCTACCTCCTCGTTGCTCAATGTGCGAGATACTGGCATTTTATGCTCGCCCTGAGCGTTCTGGGCGGCATGTCTTCGGCCATTCTCACGACCGTGGCCATCAGCATGCTGAGTCACTGGTTTGAACGCCGCCGTGCGCTGGTCACGGGAATCTGTATGGGCGGCTCCTCCGCCGGGGGTGCGGTCCTCCCGATCGTGCTCCGCAGCACTTTCCGGAAATATGGCCGGGCATGGTCTCTGCGCATTGTCGCCTTCATCGCCCTCGGCTGCTATACTCTGGCAATCTTTCTTGTAAGAGGCAGGCAGCTGCCCGATACTGGCACCCCTACTCGCGCCACTATCAATTTTCGCGCGTCCCGGTCCCCGCGTCTCTGCTTCCTAGCTCCTGCGGTGTTCAGCTTCGAGTTCATTATCTTTGGATGCGCAGCGTTGCTTCCGACCTATGCACGCTATGCAGGTTTCTCGTCCCAAAAGCAATTCTACACCCTGATGGTGCTGAACAGCATGAGTTTACTGGGTCGGGTGCTCCCGAGATTAGCAGCAGACTTTCTGGGGAGATTCAACATTCTGTTAGCGATGATGATCCTCACGCTGGTGGTCATGACGGCCGTGTGGGTGCCGTTTGGATCGCGGAGCGAAGCGACCTTGTACGCAGTCGTCGCTGTGTTCGGGTTCGGGTCGGGTGGCTGGATCTCGCTAGCTCCGGTGTGTGCAGGCCAATTGTGTCGGACGGAGGAGTACGGTCGATTCTATGGAACGGTGTACAGTGTTGCAGCATTTGGGACCTTGTTGACTGTTCCAGTCGGTGGGGAGCTCTTGCAGGCAACGTCGCCGCAAGTCCTAGTTGGTTTTTATTCGGCGGTGCTGGTAATCGGTCTGATCAATGTAGTATGCTCGAGGTGGGCACTACTAGAATGGCGGTGGAAATGAACTGCCAGGGTTTGAGTTGGGTGACTGTCTGGTGCACGTGCAGTATCAGGGTACCTATGCTGTTCCACCGGGTTGAACTGTCTATTCAACCAAAGGTGCAAAAGCTAATCTTCAACAAACAATCTTTTAGATCGAGATATTCATAAGACTTAACTATATCAATCTACTCCTCTTCTTTATTCTCCCCTTTTTCATTCCTCAACCGATTCCTCTTCGCATTCCCTTCCAACCCATACAACACATCCTCCGACATCCCCGGAATCACCATATCGAAGGTATTCTCAATGACCGTATACTGATAATACCCGCAGCGGGCAATCGGCCTCGTCTTCTTGACATCCAGGATCCCATCCGTGAGCACCTCATCCTTGATATGCACCGCGACCACCCGTCCAATAACGACATCCACCGTTCCCATTGGTGGGTTCCCGGGCAATCGGATGGTGGAGTGGTACCTGCACTCGAACTTGACAGGACTCTCGCTGACCATGGGCACGTCGACCAGCGCAGCAGGCTCCTTGGTGACACCCGCTTTCTCGAACTCATCCACGCCGTACGGAAACTGCTCGGCGGAGATGTTGACGGCCTCGCGGAGGTCGTAGGTGGCCAGGTTCCACACAAACGCGCCCGTGGCCTCGGCGTTGACGACCGTGTCCTTGCGGGTCGCGGTGGCCGTCTGGTTGGACGAGAACATCACGTACGGCGGGTCGAAGGTGAGGTTGTTGAACTGCGAGTACGGCGCCAGGTTGCTGGTTTGGCCGTCGGGCGATTGCGTCGAGATCCAGCCTATCGGGCGGGGGATCACACATGCCTGTGTTTCGGTTGGTTCAAGGAGTCTATGTATGGGATGAATGTGGATCGACTTGGAGTATACTGTACCTTGAAAGGGTCATGGGGAAGGTTGTGCTCTGTCACGCCGGGTTCGTAGTACATTTTCGGTCAATGCGTTCTGTTCTCAGGTATTGATATTGAGGAACGATCTCTGCGGTGAGCAGGAGGGGCGGGAGCGATGCGACAGGCACCTTTTATTATCATGTCGTGCGAATCTGCACCGTGGTGAGGTGAGTGATCGACATTCTCGTGCCGATAACCGCTGGGGGTGGGGAAGTAAACGACCAGGCGCGGGCGGGCGGTGTCCCGAGCTCGCCGAGGCTCCGATATGAGGGGTCAGTTTGGCCGCCCGTCTGGGTACAGATTGTGGCTGGCGGGTGGTACGAGTAAAAGCATTGTCGATCGCGCATGTATACTAGGATCATTGTTATCAAATCAGACCAGAAACTGTTGTGTGACTGGGGAAAAAGAGATTTAAAACGTATCTAGTGTGTCATTTATTTGGGGCGAATTCCTACATATAGTATAAACTCACTTCGGAAACGTCAAATAACAAAACAGAAAAAAAAAATAAATAAATAAAAACTATGGCCATGGCGAGCAATCTGTAGACAGACGGGCATTCCGGATGGTTGGCGATACCACCTACTATGCCTGGTCTCTGGGAAGCTGATTACGTAAAGGTGATAGGGCAAAAGTGACGCTGCGATTACATCAACTAGCATCATTGGTCTAGTGGTAGAATTCATCGTTGCCATCGATGAGGCCCGTGTTCGATTCACGGATGATGCACTTATATTTTCTTTTTGCCTCTACTTTTTCCTGCACAAGCCATCCTCCCTAGCACGCATCCTTGGACAATATTTCAGCTTGGACCCTTTTTGGTCCATGTAACCGCGGCGAACCCATGCTGTTGCTACCGATAGTCTTCATAAGTTCCGGCTCCCCACCATCTGCCGTCAGATGTCCGCCACAACAACACCATCCATACTTTAATGGCCGTCTAGCAGCAACACCACAAGAGCCATGCTTCAACTGGAAAGTCTCGAAATCTGATGACGAACATCAGATAATGACTGCTGATTGGCAACTGCAAGACTACCATACCCAAGAGTCCGACCGCGCCATAGGCCGCTTTCGTACTGAACTTCCTTCTACTGGCACTCCTCGCTCTATATTTCTCCGAGCGTCTACCTGGACACGTGGTGCAGGGAGATAACCGATAATCAGATTGATACCGTGGCTGTAACACGTGCTCTTAACACGTGCCCACCTTACTGGGCTCTCATGCACATCTCACCCACCACCCTGAATGCTGTTGGCACGTGATGTCTTATCTATACGCATCATTTGACTGAGCTTACTATGCTGGAATATTACAGTAAGTGAATCACCTACATCCTCTCATTTCCAATTCAATGAGTCTATGCCCAAGATTTATCCATATCATTCATCTCCGTTACATCTTGAATGGTTTCTCGGCCCTTCACTCACAATTGATCTATAAACATTTGGTTCTAAAACAAGGCTTTTAGTTCATCCTCGCCTCCTAACCGAACTTCCAGTTCTATATCCTAGCCTCTTCCTTCCACATCTCTTCCTCCTATACTTCCTCAAGACACAGCTTCACCACACTTGTTGCTTTCAGTTTGTTTCTTTTTTGTGTTGATTTTACAATCGCTGAACATCTTACGCGGCTCCTGATTCCCCTTGCAAAGCTTTACTGTTGTGATTGTCCACATATCCGACGAAGAAGAACCGGGTCTGATTGACCTTCAACACCAAGTAATCGGGTTACACCTGACAGTGTCACTTTTCGATTCCACAAGCTGAAGGACCCGGTATTCTCCATATCAGTTCTGCCTTGCCTGGCACCCGATCCTGCCCACAGAAGATATCCAGAGGCATCAAGGCTTGGATCTATCCACGTTACGCTCGACGTGACACACTTACACAACGATCTCGAGGTGTCAAAAAAAAAGGCGAGGTTACCCCATGACAAGCGGTCAACGGTAATTAAACCTCTGCTGTCCACAGGAGGGGCGATAAAGTGTCCCCAGGAGAGTGCTCGATTAAGTAATGCATCCACAATTCTTGCTATATGTTAATTGTCTATTGCATTACAAAAAAGAGAGATACCCCGCAGACTTTGATTACCAGGGCATCCTACGACAAACAAGATTCCCGGCTGGAGAAACTTTTATCTTCGATTCCCATGATCAGTTTTTCTTTGCTATATACATATCTGACTTTCCTTCGTCAAAAAGGTGAATAGGAAAAGGCTACGACACTGGCACAAATGGTCGGTGACTGAAGAATCCCGGGATTCATTCTAGGGCGAATTCTGACCGTCAGCAGACGTCTAGTCAAGACTCGGCGTCTACGCAAGAATGTCCGCGCGGTGAAACTCCTCCAGCACGGAGAAGATAGTTACAAAACGTCATTGAGACAAAGTGTGCGGGACAACAAGAAAGAAGGGAAGTTGGAGCTTGTGGTTGCTTCAGCTTCCGGGTTGGACAGGAATGATAGTCTTCGAGGCAACTCTGAATCAGAGCGATAACTGAAGGATTCTGAATCCATTCTCAGGCAAGTTCTGACCGTTAGCAAACACCTGCTCGAGATTCGGTGTCTACGCAAGGATGTAGACGTGGTGAAAGGTCCGCCTGCATAGGAGGATAGTTTCAGAGCCTTATTCAGACAAAGTCTGCATCAGAAGATGGAAGGGAAGCATGAGGTCGTGGGTCCTTCAGCGTCTGTGCCGGACACAAATGCCAGTCGCCGAGGCAGCTCTAAATCAGAAATCTCAGGCGAGTTCGCGGCGTCAGCAGCTATCAGCTCAAGATTCGGCGTCTACGCAATCATACCAGGTTATGCTTTACAAGCTTCGAGGTCACAGGCAACCTGGACAGAAGACGATAAACACTTTGGCGAAAGCACCAAGACCAATTGCCTACGGCAATTAAACCTAGACCACACAAGAGAGAAAGACCGTGGCCCCCTAAAGGCACCCGACTTAGCGACGCATGGACACTACTCGCTTAATGCGAGCTGTCTACTGCGGTTAGAAAAAACAGAAGTACGGCCGATCTTGATCATCAAGGCAACGCACGCCAAACACGAATCCGAACTGGCGAGACATGTCTTTTCTACGCACACGAACGGTTCTTCTTCCTTGCCTACGGAGGACCACACGTGCTGTGGGGGCTTTAAAGCCGCCCCTATAGTATGAGTGGTAAGCCCTTCGCCAGAATAAAGAAAATAACGACAAACCCCCATTAAGACAAAGTGGGCATGACAGAAAAGAGGAAGGGAAGGTGGAGGCTGTGGATACTTCAGTGTCCGTGCTCGATGACAGTTTTCAGGGCAATTCTGAATCAAAGTGTGGCATCCAAGCAAGAAATACAGACTTCCAGTCAGCGCAGAATTCGACATGAGAGGGGTCATTTAAACAGAGATGAAGCCTGCGGCTAAGCCTTTCTTCTATACCCATGACCAGCAATTTCTACTTTGTCTACATGAGGGAAAAGAGCTTATACGCATGCGGCAGTTCAGGACAATTCTAAGATTTCTGACAAGCCCTGAAGCAAATGCACTGAGTTTGCGGCCGTGTCAGATTTTCTTGGCTCGGAAATGTTTCTGTCGTGCACACTGTTTCGCAGCAGGAACACGCTAACACGTTATCCTCTCTCAACTCCGAGCAGCGGCAGGCATATGTTTCCGCGTACGAGAAGGTGTGTGGCATCAGCCAATCCACCAGGCACAGGACCCCGTATAGCGGTTGTAGTATTGACAGCTTTGACTGCTCGTGGATTCAAAACATCCTTTTACACCAAAGACATCGCCCAACTTTCAAGGTCAATTAGCCAGAGCCTTCCAGAACAACAAGAAGCTCTAACACTGGCGGAGTATTAGCAGATAGCGCCGACCATGCTGTCGATGCGACCAATTGATATTACCCAAAACGTTGGAATGGTGGACAAGCAGGGAACATCGTCGGCCTCTTCGAGATTAAGCAATCCCAGATTGCCGAACATTCCAAACTCACCACGACGAATAGGGACGTTGCTCATAAATAGTGGCTCTCGCCATGGATTGAAATGAGATATTTCACCAGATTTCCCTATAAAGGAGGGTTTGCGTCTATCCTCGCAGATAAACTGAGTAATCAGCTTATTAAAAACTGATTGAGAGATTCAAAAGGCCTGTTAATTTGACACCGTACACGAATGGGTGTATTGGGCGGTCCGTGTGCTGGAGAAAAAGGAACGACCTGTCCGGTATCCGGCTGAATTTGATTCTGACGGACTTATCCGACATTAAAGAATACCCACGGGATCAACCATCATACGATATGCACACGGCGTGTGGTGGTACTCAGTAATTAAAGGCGGCTACGTGATCTGCGGCGACAGAGGCGCCAGCCATGCCTATTGGCTTCTTCAGAAGCAGAAAGATATCAAGACCAAGTCTCTTGACACCAACGATCTGTCAATCGGCTCCGTTATTGTCAACAAGGACGCGAACCCATCCTTTCTTAAGACCACTTATACTGAAGTGCTTCACACGATACCGAAGTCCCGTATCGACAATGCAGTATCGAAGACATGATACACATTCGAGGACAAGATAGAATAGTCCTGGAAGATCAGCTATAACTACAAACGAGAAAGATGACTCATACGATGCGTTACGCACATGGGCCAGGCCACGAAGGTCACTCATTATGAGCTTCTTAACCAGATTGACAGAGCGAGCGACCTGATTTAACTGAGCATAAAAAGGCCGGACTAGGAAAGCTGTGTTTGCGTACACGAATCAGCAGAAAACTACTGATATGTTCCATCCAAAAATGACACAACCGGTCTTCTTCCCAGCGCTTCTTGCTCCCGTGCCACGTCGATATGTCGACGCGCAGCTTGAAAGCTGACGTGGCACACGATCGGCAACACACTGGGTTATACACAACATACGCGTGGCCTGTTGTAGCGGGACAGCAAATCGTCGGCGTTACAAGGCTGCCTGTCCTGGATGGCCCGGAAAACCAACAGTTGTACTTGAAGCGATGGGAAATATCCACCACGTTTAGTCCCTTGGGTGTCGCGTACGGAGTTGCGATGGAGTCTAAGCAAAGACTGCACAGCCAGGAACTCTAGCAGGTTGTTTGCAACACACTTCGTCTAGTTTAAGGAGGCGACCGAAGAGACGATCGCCAACTCGAGAGGGCATCATAT